AATCCGACAATTAAAGGCAAAATATTTTTTTTCTCATTCATTTTGTTTTTCTCATAAAATCATTTTATCTCAGATATTGCGGAAGGGAGGAGAAAAAGATGACGGAGACCTGAGATAAAAGCTTTAATGATTTCTAAATTCTGAGCAGGAAATGCAGATTTAGCAACATAGGGGAAACCCGGAAAGCACTTTTAAGCACGCCACAGTTTACGAGTGATAGTTTAGAAGCTGCTTCTTCCAGCTGTCACTCCTCGTGTTCAGCTCCCTCCGTAGTGTTGGATAATCAACGGCAGTTGTTTTACTGCTGTCGTTGCTAACTATTTGGTCGCCTTCTGCATAATCGGACTTTTTTGGCGGCCTTAAATTCCACGAAGTTTTTTACTGCTAAACAGAGGTCAGACATTTTTTGATAGAGCAGAAAAAAACATCTTTTTAAACATCGGCTGCATTTTCAACTGACTAAATTAAAAAATCTTTAATTTTTTATTTTCATTTGTCGCTTCAAATATGCCTGATATTTTAAATAAGCAAATCATTTTTTTGCAAATGATATTGTTTTCAAGGGGTAAATTAATCGTTGTCTTAAATAAAGCAAAGAAACGAAAACAGTTAAAGATATCAATTTATTTGATCTTTCAAGAGAAGCTAGATTTTTTTACCTATAAATAAATCTTATTTCTGTATTGTTTTTTAAATAGTCATTGCTGTTCAAAAGAAAACTAATAAGTTAAACAAAGTTTTGAAATTCAGTTTTTTCACAGGTGGTCAACGATGAAAAACTGGCTGCTATACGTTTGCTCTCTACTGTTATTTCTAGGTAAAAATAAACATTAATTTTAGCGCATTGATTTTGTGTGAATTTATTTCATATTGGTACTATAATGTTGAAAAATAATTTTTATTTAACAAAACGTCATGGCTTTTCGTTCTTAACAGTTTATTCTAACTACAAAATTGTAGAAAATTTTAATGTGCTTTCCACTCAACAATTCACTTTAAATGTTTATCTTTTTAGTACCTGAGATTACCAGTGATCATATTGGGTACACTGAAGTTGACGGACCAAATACATGGAATGGGACCTGCAGAACTGGCAAACGTCAGTCGCCAATAGATTTCCGAGCTGTTGATATTGTTTGGGACGGCGAACTGCCACGAGTACATTTTGCAAATTACGGAGCAACATCAGGAAGACTAATGGTCTCTAACGATGGCCACACCAGTAAGGCTTAGTTTATCACAGTACATATTTTTGACTGGCATAAACACACCTTTCATGAGTTCCTGTTCAGAAAATGTTAAAGAAGAAAATACAAAGTTTATTCTATGCGCTATCTAAATCTTTTCAGTTTTAATTAACGGTTTCGATAAGTGGGGAAAAAACCAACCATATATTTATGGTGGTCCGCTAAATGGTGAATATACGTTACAAGCTTTTCATTTTCATTGGGGTCAAGACGAAGCACACGGAAGTGAACATACTATCGGAAGTCTTCATTATCCTGGCGAAGTCTGATTACAGTTTACAGTTTTAATCTAGATGAATAAGAGTAGCTTTTCTCTTATAATCATATGGTAAATGTACTACAATTTCAGATTCATTTTGTGCATCGCAAGCGTGATTTAAACGAAAACGGAATTTTACAATCAGATTCGTATGTGGTTCTTGGGGTTTTTATGGGTAGTGGTAATGACAAGAAAGCATTCAAACCATTCGAAAAAGCTGTTCAGAAAGTCGTCAGTGAAGCGGGTCAGTAATAATATTGCAAAAAAAAAATGTCATTTGTTAATCTTGGTAAACCATTCAATTTAGAAGTAAAGATTAGTGCCGAACACACCTACTATCTTACATTAACAACCAACTGAAAATAGATGCAAGGTCTACATGCGAACGGTTTAGTAGGGTTAGCAACAAACTATAGCTATAAACCATTTTAGGAAAGTCAGTCGAACAGGAGGATCCCTATAGTTTGATGGACTTGTTTCCTACAAATATGGCCGCGTATTACACGTACGAAGGATCGTTGACAACACCTGGATGTAACGAAGTTGTTACATGGATCGTTTTCACTGAACCCGTATCATTTTCGCCAGAGCAGGTTAGTAAAAATAAAAAGTTATTTCCGGAAAACAAATATAATGTTCCCGGTGATAGATATTTTTAAAAAAAAGTAGACAAAAAAAACAGCAGCAAATTCCAGTTATTGATAGTATTTTTACATCTTTTTATTAATACATATAAGATTTATTGATACATAGTGTAGTGCACCACATTCAAATGCTTCTTCTTTTTTTTCACAGTTTTTACTTTATTTACAGCTTCACCTGAATATTTCAGCTGAGCTTAATTCGTCAAACCATTATCACCCATGATGGCAAACCTGGGTCTCCCTTCCGGCCGACGCAAGATCTAAACGGCAGAAAGATTCGATTTAGACCAGCAGCAAAAGTAAGCTCGTCAATTTCGATGTCTGTTTTGAGCTTGACAGCATTTATTTTGCCGGTCCTAATAACCAAACAATCTTTTCTGATCTTATAATAGTGATGTCTAATTTTGCTGTTTACACAGTTGATGACGGTTTTTAGACGCTATAAAGAGCTAAATTTAGTTCATTTTTTATCCTGTGGCTAAACTGTTAATGAAAACAAACAGAAACAATAACAATAAGCAAAAACAAAACAAAACAAAACAAAGAACAAGTTTTTCTTCTTTTTTACAAGTTTTTAATGTAAGCCTTCTTTTGCCATTATCATTTTTTTTATTACTATTAATAATATTAATATTTTTATTATTAAACAAATTATTTTAATAATTACTACGGCCATTAATGTTGTATAAAGAAACCATCATTAACCAGCATTATTATTGTATTTTTAACTACTGTTCAGCTTATCATTCTATTTAATGGTTAGTTGCTTTCAGTTTTATTATATTTTGTTATCTCCCTCTGTGTTTGTTGGATTTTTTGCTATAACGCATTGCTTGTTGTTGGATTAAAGCATTTTAGCAGGTCATCTAAAATTTACGCTTTAACTGAATTGCTGGTCTTCCAAAAAAAAGTGTTTAGAAATTGGAGGTTAAAAACGTTTCAATCAATCGAGTAAGAAAAGCAACTTCAACTAGTAGAAGTTACCCCGTATTTCATTTTTTCCTTTTTCGTTTCATTTTTTTCGCTTTTCAATCTCAAAAGGGCTTAGTTTTTTATCAGGTCTTTTGAAACACTATTTTCAATACTTTCTTTTGGATACTGCGCTTAATCGAGTACTCGGGGTGTTGTGCACCAACAGCTGATTTCAAAATCTGTCATCAAATTGTTTACTTTATTCATCTTAACGTTGAAAAAAGTTATTTTGCATGCTTTAACGGTCTTAATTTTTTTCTTTTCTGTTATTTCATTTCATACTTTATATCTTTGAGCAGAAAGATAGAAAAAGTGGTTAACTTTTTAAGATGATTTTTTAAAGAAACACTCAGTTTACGACAATGAATTAGAAGTTTTAAACTAAAAAATAGAAGTAGGAGAGGTAAAATTATGTAAGAAATCAAATATAGTTAATAAGGCAAATAACTTCTTCTGAAATTAGTCAGTAGAAATATCACTATAAATGGCGTCAAATAGTCAGTATGAGATCGGCGAGTTGACTCAGTATAAATCAAGATTTCAATGCATATTTTATTTGCTTCTCAACTTTTTACTGCCCCCCCCCCCTCCCCCATCTTAGAGTGGTTCTTTTTGATGACGATGTGTCACTTTGTCAATTACAATATTTCAGGCCAACATTTTAGAAATATAGCATGCCCAAGTTTTTTTGTAACAACAAACAGTTCGTCTCTGTGATTTCACAGACAGGGATTGTTGACGGAAACAACAGCAAATATGTTCAACTTGAGAAAAAAATTGAATTAAATGTTTGTCTGTTTTGATGTATGTTAATGTTTAGTGCGGCTTTTTTTCTAAGAAATATATTCTTTGCTTTTTCAGTTACTGTTCTTAATCATTTTTGCAAGCATTTATTCACCGTTCACAGAAAAGTATTGTTTCTAATTGCTCTTCATTTGAAGAAAATTGCTTTGGAAAAAGTTAAGCGACATAGTGACTGCAGCATGTTGTCTATTGTCTTCTGTTACACTGTGGTATAAATAAAAGCTTTTTGATGAAAAAATATGCACTGTCATAAACAGCACTACTGTAGATGAGAAAGCTAAGTAATTCACTAGCCAATCAAGCTTAAAGTTTATTATATAAGAGTCGTTTTACATATTTAAACTACCCTAAAGCTGTTGGGTTGGAAAACATAAAAGATCTCATTTTTCTCCATAAATTCTTTCCAAATTGATCCTCAAGTTATCTTAAATAATTATTAAACAGTCACACATCTGAAAAACTCTAGACTTAATTAGTCAAATTATTACCGAGTCCACTATAAGGTCTTGATTTTAAAGCTGAATTCTAAGAAGTTGTAAGCTTTGAAAGCAACAAATGTTTGATTATTAAATGGGTTCTCTTATGCTGTCAAAAAAGAAAACTAAATACTAAATTATGATTTTAAGAAACAAAAAAAGTTTTCTATGTCAAACAAGAAGAGTGACGAATATTCTGAAAAATTTTAGCTGATTTTTAATACATTTTCAGCAATAACTGCTTTACTAAAGTCACAAAGTTTTTTTCTGTTTTTTCTCAATTTATCGTTTCAAAACGTTTTAAAAATTTCTTATAATGGTTTTCACTGTATCAGTTATTATGCTGATAAAAGTTATAAGTAACGCTAGCTTAAGAGCTTTATCCGCACAGCAACAAATGACTGTCAGAAAATGCCAAAACGACAGTTCAAGAATCTCTAAACAGCCTGATTCACCAAGTTCAAACCAAAGAGGCTAGAAAAACACATTTTTTCCTTCGACATCTGAAAAAAGCTGATTTCAGAGTGTTTTTTAATGTTTTCCCAAAGTCGAATCCTTTTTTTTTTCAAATATTTTTTCCAGCTCATCTCGGCGTTGCTGCCTATCTGCCTCAGTGACTTTGGCACATGCGATAGTGCCTCGCCGCTTGAAGGTATGTTCCCCTCAGATGCCTGAAATTTCAAGTGCGAGATTAATCGCCTCAACGGGCATTTTTTGTTTGGGAGTATCAATCAAAGATAAAGAGAGACGGGCTTTGGAGGGATTAACGCCCTTTATAAGAAACCCGGAAAGTACCTTTGAAGGAACTTCTGGTGAGGAGGACAAGAAAACTAATGCTTTTCGTGGATATCTGAAAAAGCTTTTGATAATCTTTACGTGTGCTATAAAATGATTGTGTGTTCAGTAAAAGTAGGTTTTATAAACTCTAGATACTTCAAAAATTTGTTTCTTTTCTCTCCTTTTATCTTGAAGTTCCCTATCTTAAGTGTCTTCATTGTTTAATCGACGAAAATATCTGCTTCTTCGCTGCATTCCAATGGTAATTTGACAATATAAATTAGCACTTTGAAAACCCTGCCAAACAGAACTTTTGCAAGTACAGTGACGACCCGTTCGATACTGTCTCCTTCAAAAACCCGTGACATATGTATCAATTTTTTAGAATCTATGATAACCTTTCCAACACACTCTCTTTATGACTATATTTCCGGTCATTTCTATCTTAGTTATAACTGCGACATGGCCATCTGCCGAGTTTTTACAAGAAGCAAAATTTATGAAGCTTCTACTTCCACGTGAAAAGTTTAAACCTGAACTGGGAATTTCATGGCCAAAAGTAACTCTTCGTGGAATGAATAATTCCTAAAATACCAAAGCTGAAAGTATAGAAAACAACAGTGAGGAAATTCATGAATTTCCTGCATTCCTAAAAGGCCGAATAGCACTGCGTTGGTTATACGAGAAAAGAAAGAAGAAAAAAAAGTGCCTAAAAATGCAACTGCACCGAACTTGCTTGACTTCGCTGGCACTCGTTTAAAAGAGAAGTCACGCACGATGTAAGCGAAAACAGTGACCCGGTAAGTGGCTGTACTCCACGCTACCCGAAGAATGCGGCCTGTAAACCTCTAGGGCCCCTGTGACGTGCTGTATTAAACTGAATATATAATTCCGGTATTTACTTACGCTCCTTCCCTCGTTTATTATACATATAGAAATTCAAGTTCTAAAGAAATTCTAGGTTTGATATATATATGTCAGACCTTTAAAAACTTGAATGCCGCCAGAAAAAGCATAAAGACAGAGTTTGAATTTATAAATTTAACCGCAAGCTCTAATTTAAAATAAACTACCTCTAATTAGATAAATTTTGAATTGGAAAAAAGACGAGCAGATTGCATTTTTTGAAGAATATCCCTTATTGGTAGATTTAACGGCACAGTAGCATTCCTCCAACGGCAAAACAAGGAGGTGAGAAGACTCTGAACTGGACTGATGCTGTGACTAACCGCTGGGGTTCTATAAATTGCTTTTTTTAACATATCAAATCGCTTTTTGCTTCTCGTTGTATTTGTGTTCTTTCAACTGTTTTTTTTTCTGAATTTTTACTTTTTCTGCTCCGCTCAGTGTAGAGTATTTGCAAGGTTTAGCGTTATTTTCTCAAATGGAAAATCTGAATTATTTCGAATGCGGGGAGTCAAAAATGTTGTATAAATTTGAAATAACTGTTTACTTTTGTTTTTTTCTAGCAGAAATATAGAACTAGTTAACTGCTGGGTTTTTTTGGGAGTCGTACTACATATTTTGCAAAATAAGATTTACTTTTTTACTTTATTCATTGTTTGTTATTTCAGATGTCTTGCTTGCACTTTGCTAACGACGCATGCGTAAAAGATGAGCATCCCTTTGCAGACGGCAACGATTCTGATAATCAGGTGTAGGAAAAATTGACCAAAAAATGGCTTTTGGATGACTTAACCACGTATATGTAAGTTGTTCTTTATTTATTATTATTGCAATTCTGTCATCCATTATCTTGTAAATTTAGGGAAAAAAGTATTTTTTTCAGTGAGAACCCCCTCTCAAACAAAAAGATTGAGTACCCTAAGAAGAAGCCGAATGATTTGAAAACAGCTGATTTTTCCACGTTTTGCACTTGTATCCTTAACAGCAACATTAGATACGTTGTCATATTGTCTTTTTTGTTTATGAACAATAGAGAGTAATATTTGTAGGTGTGTATGACAAGGAATTTAAACATTAAAGAAGTCAAGTGTCGATGGAATCACTGACACTGAACATCAGTTGACAGAACTTTTATATGTAATTGATGCTCGTGCGGTTAACACGCTTCTAATAACAGTTAGAGAAACTGATAAAACTTTTTATTTCAGCCTAAATGTTACTCACCTTTTAGAAACCTGAGCAGTAAAAAATTTCAAAAAATACCCAAAAAAGAATGTATAACTCAGTCACCTATTGACGAAAATGTCATACGTACCAACATTCACAAAGCAAAAATAATTTTTTGCTGATAATGCTTATAATTATTTTTCTTTTTATAAGGAAAAATCCAAAATATACTTTTATTCCACTCTTAAACCTTTACTTTTAGATTCGTTTGTTGGTATATTCACTGCTTACTGACCCTACACCTCCTGTAGCAGTTTTCACAAAGAGGTTCAAGCCGCTGAAA